CCTCCGCCACCACGACCACTCATCGGAAAACCACGTCTAAGATTAGGCGCACCTCGAACACCGCGTGCTGGCGGCGCTGAAAAGAAACCGCCTTGAGCCGCGGATCCATTGTTATTCCTGTTCGGTGGAGGAGTCATGAAACCACCACCTCGTCCCGGTACTGGAGGCATACCTCGAGGCGGAAAACCGCCGCGTAAAAACATTCCAGGCGGTGGAGGCGGCATAAGACCTGAAACGGAACTTTGCGTACACTCTCGGGAATGGAAAAACTTCAAAGACAGGGGCACGATCGCTGAGGGCGGGTGGTTGGCGCCAATGTCACTGCTGGAAGGGCAGACTAGAGGGGGCCAAATGTCCTCTCGCAGCCCTTCCACCAATGACAGTGGCAACGACCGTCCTCCCCATCGGTCGTCCACTACCTTTGACCATGAACAAGAAATTTAAACGTGTGGAGGTCATTTGGTGAAGCCAGGTGTATGATGTATTACCGCTACCTCAAAACCCGGCTCTTCAAAAACATGTGAAAGTTCCGCGTCCAAACACCCAACCTATCCGTATTTATGAAACTGTCTTGAAGGGCCTGCTCCGCGTTCATTTGATGTTCAGGCGCCTTCTTTGCACATGGTGGTCCTGCTAGCGGAGGATGTACTACTTTCACAGCTCAGAACGACGTGAGCAGAGCGTCACCCGCCCGCTATGAGGCCATGGATCCGCCCACTGGCCTCGGCCACGCCCATCTTTCAACTTGAACTGCTATCTGATGGTGCGGTTGCTCTGCTAGCAACTCTCTCCATTTCAAACGGTGACAGTGCGTGATAAGGGGAAGGACATGACATCAACGAGCGCTACTCGTCCGACCACGCCCTTTTTTCGCCTTATGCACGTGAAGCGCGGTTCAGCGCAGAGTTCCATACAGGGTATTTCCAGGGAGTTTTCCTGTTTTTCTTTTTTTTCGCAGGTTTTATTATTCACCACCTTGACATTAGTATATGAGTCGCAAAAGCCACCATGTCGAACGCGTGGCGAGCATTTTCAAGTTTCACTTAAACGGAAATTCAGCAACGCAGGCAATGTTGGACCACGCAGGTAAACAGAAATAACGCATAAGGACATTGAAGAGAGGGTGTAAAAAGGGGCATGGGGGAGGGACAAAAAGATTAGGAGGTAATCCTCTAATTTTTTTTCACAGGAGTTGCGACGGCTGTCAATGGACTTGCGGGCTGTGAGACGTTCACGTAGGCAATGGATATTTTCTTAATAACTCCCATCTTTCGACTTCGTTCCAAAGCGGAAGTACCGGTGGAACCCCAGGGCACTTGACAACCAGCTCACTTGTGGAAGGAAAGCTGGGCTACTTCTTTTTTTTCTACCCGCTCCCAATATTTTTCATTTTCTCCACCACTGAATTTTCTTTGCAGGGCCGAACCATTCGGTGAAGAGCCGGGCCAGAACCAGTGATTATTCCTCTGGGGACCAGACTTAAAAAGACGAATTAATCATTATTGCAGTACATACCTGGCGGAATAGGAAAAGGTGGACCTCGCATGCCAGGGACGACGATTCCTCCACGACCTACACCAGCCATATCGTTGGGAGGTTTCCCTTCAGCTGCACTCTTCTGGCTTCCAGCAGCTTCCGCTGGTTCGTCTTCTGATTCTCCAGCATCGATATCCATTGCATCGTTATCATCGCCTTTGCCTACAAATTTACGTAGTGGCTTCGCTAGTACCATCGAAAAATAGAAGTACCGTAGCCTGCAAACCTTTGGAAGAAGAAGACGGCTCGGCTTTGCCGGAATCTCCTTCTGGCAGACCAGCTCCTGAAAGAGAAAAGTATCAATTTGAAGAAGATAAAGATCAAAAGGCGAAAATAGTTCACCTGAAATAGATTCACTAGCCTTCGGAACACTTTCTTTGGAATCACTTTCTGTAGGCTCGCTCTCAGACTTCTGAAAGACATTATAAATGAAGTTATGTTGCAATAAAGCTTCAATTTCGAACTTGGCGGAGTCATACCTTTGCAGAATCCTGCTTCGTTTGAAGCCCTGCTCGACGCTTTTGCTCTTCGATATCTCTTTTGAGCCTTTCAATTTCTTCATCTTGCTGCTTTTTCGAAACATCAGGACTTGGC